CGGCTCGAGGACGGTAGGCACGTCGGCCTTCCGTCGCAAGGGGAAAACCGTGGTGTAGCGGGAGTAGTCGTCCACCACAATCAGGAAGTAGCGCTCCTGACGTGGGCCAAGGACCGGAGAGGGGCCCCAGACGTCCAAGTGCAGGGTCTCGAAGGGAGCCGTGGTGGGGGGGAACGAGGAGGAGTGAGGGGCAGCGCGCTGCCGACCCTCGACGCAAGGAGTGCACAGCGGCGCAGGCGAGCGGGGAAGCGGTGCAAGCGACCCTGGGAGACCTGAGACCAGACGGTAACGTGCCATCCTACTGAGACGCGGGAACGACGGGTGACCTAGACGGTGGTGCCAGAGGACCGACGGGTGGGTGAGGGACCGACAGTCACACGACACAGCAGCTACCTGACCTGACCTGACCTGACCCGACTCAGTGTGGTGGGACCCAGTGTGTAGTGAGTACAGACCAGATCCTGGCTCTCTGTGGAATGTGGCCAGGGGCGCCCCAGTGGCACCGACAGTGCAGGAGGCAACAGGCTCGTCCAGTGGGAAAGTAGTGACTACGCCTAGGTCGTGAAGGTGACTGACACCCACCAGGTTCCTAGAGAACGAGGGGCTGTAGTAACCTGTAAGAAAACCTGAGGGAGCCGCCGGACACGGAAGAGTGGTGGTGCTGCTAGCAACTACACGTCCCACAGAGGGGTCAGCCAAGGCGACAGTGACTGGAGTGCGCAGTGGTGTGAGGTCGGTACAGTCGCGAAAGAAACAGCTGGACGCTCCAGAATCTAGGGTGAAGGAAAGCTGTGCAGTCTGTGGGGTCGCACCCGAACCAGCTACAAAGGCTAGTGCTAGACTAGTGGTAGCTGCAGCTTCTACACAAAGACCCTCAGAGGCGCCGGGACTGGAAACAACACACGCACCAAGACTGGAAACACAGGTCTCTACTCGTGCAGCCGGAAAGGGTCCTAGACCAGGCAGGTGAGACTCAACTGGTGCAGTAGTGCGCTGGCGAAGGCGCGAAGGCCAGTGCGGTGTAATAGCGTGAGGACCAAAACGCTCACGGTGGAGGTCGTCGAGTCGACGGTAGCAGCTGGACGCAGTGTGGTCAGGACTCCAGCAGGTAGTGCCAGCACCAGGGCCTGTCAGGGCCCGGTACTCGCAGGGGCCGACGTCTCGCCCACTGCTAGCTGAGCCACTGCTGGGGGCGCCACACTTTGGACCCGCAGGCCCCCACTGACGGGAGTGTTGCGGCTGGCCCTGCTGCTGTAGAACCCTAGTACATGCCATGTGAGCCTATGCTGCTGCTGGTTCTGCTGGGGGCAGCCTAAGCTGCTGCTGGTGCGCTGGGGGCAGCCTGTGCTGCTTCTGGTTCTGCTGAGAGGCAGCCTAGGCTGCTACTGGTTCTCCAGGGGGCAGCCAATGCTGCTGCTAGTGCGCTGGCAGTTGCCTAAGCTGCTGCTGGTGCGCTGGCGGTAGCCTAAGCTGCTGCTGGTGCGCTGGGGGCAGCCTATGCTGCTGCTGGTTCGCTGGGGGCAGCCTATGCTGCTGCTGCTGGTGCTCTGGCGGCAGCCTATGCTGCTGCTGGTTCGTTGGGGGCAGCCTATGCTGCTTCTGGCTCTGCTGGGGGCAGCCTTAGCTGCTACTGGTTTTGCTGGGGGCAGCCAATGCTGCTGCTGGTGCGCTGGTGGCAGCCTATGCCGCTTCTGGTTCTGCTGGGGGCAGCCTACGCTGCTGCTGGTGCGCTGGGGGCAGCCTATGCTGCTGCTAGTGTGCTGGCGGCAGCCTATGCTGCTGCTGGTTCTGCTGGTTCTGCTGGTTCTGCTGGTTCTGCTGGTTCTGCTGGTTCTGCTGGTTCTGTTGGTTCTGCTGGTTCTGCTGGGGGCAGCCTACGTTGCTGCTGGTGCGCTGGGGGCAGCCTATGCTGCTGCTGGTGTAGCTGGCGGCAGTGTAATCGGCTGGGGCTACTGACGGCGGGTGTGGTAGATCGTGGGGAGGCAGGTTTCAGGTGGGGAAGCTGTTAAGGCAGCGGGCTACGGGTGAGGCGGCGGTTCTGTGCAGTTCTGTGCGGTTATGTGCAGTACTGTGCGGTTCTGTGAGGTTCAATGCGGTGGAGAGGAGTGGGTGGGGCAGCTGATTCCGGGTGAGGTGCCTGGAACGGGTGGGGCAGCAGGTTTCCAGGTGGGGCGGCGGTTGTCAGGTCTGGGGCGGTGGTTTTCAGGTGGGGAAGCTGTTAAGGCGGCGGTTCTGTGCGGTTCTGTGCAGTTATGTGCAGTTCAATGCGGTGGAGAGGACTGGGTGGGGCGGCTGATCCCGGGTGAGGTGCCTGGAACGGGTGGGGCAGCAGGTTTCCAGGTGGGGCGGCGGTTGTCAGGTCTGGGGCGGCGGTTTTCAGGTGGGGAAGCTGTTAAGGCGGCGGTTCTGTGCGGTTCTGAGGGGGATTTCAGGTCTGGGGGCCGGTTACGACGGTGGGCTGCACGTGCGCGCGGCTACGACGTACTAGCGCGGAGCTGCGGGTGCGACTAAGGCTGCGCGCGCAGCTACGTGCGTTCGTCTGGTGCGCGCTAGAGGACTGGGGGGCAACACGCGGGGTAAAACGAGTGGGGCGCGGGGCTAAAAACCGAGTGACGCTCGGCAAAAAACGGGTGGGGCGCAGGGCAGAAACGGGTGACGCGCGATGTCGACGGGGGGCGCGACCTACTCGGGCTCTACGGGGCAGGGCGCTTCGGGCTATGGGTCGCTACGAGGCGCGCGGGTGGTGGGCCCATAGACTATCGAGAGAAATTTCGCCTAAGGGAAAAAATCGCCTAGGGGAAAAATCGCCTAAGGGAAACCTAGCTCTATACCATGTTACGATAAGAATGAATTGATAGAAAATGTGAAGTACAACCCTAGATATAGCAAACCCTAATCATGCAAGTAAGTAGAAATGTAACACCTAGACTAACCTAAACAACACATATAAAATATATGTTGACACAGGGCGATGCGACTGCCAACAAGGCGGCGCGCGGGCAGCAGGGTGGGGTGCGGGCAACAGGGCGTCGGCCAGCAGGGCGGGCAGCAGCAGGGCGGCGCGGGCAGGAGGGCGCCGGCCAGCAGGGCTGCACGCAGCAGGGCGGGCAGCAGCCGGGTGGCGTGCAGTAGGGCTGTGCGGGCTGCAGGGTGCCGGCCGATAGGGCTGCGCGCAGCAGGGCGGGCAGCAGCAAAGCGGCGCACGGGTGCAAGGGGCGGCGCGCGGGTGCAAGGGGCGGCGCGCGGGCTGCAAGGGGCGGCGCGGCGGGCTGTAAAAGGGCGGCGCGCGGGCTGCAAAGGGCGGCGCGGCGGCCAGTAGGGCGGCGCGCGGGCAAGGCAGGGCGGGCAGCAGCAGGGCGGCGCGCGGGTTGCAAAGGGTGGTGCGCGGGCTGCAAATGGCGGCGTGCGTGTCTGCAAAGGGCAGCGCGGCGGGCTGCAAAGGGTGGCGCGTGGGCTGCAAAGGGTGACGCGGCGGCCAGTAGGGCGGCGCGACAGGCCGGGCAGCGCGACTAGTGGGGCAGCGCTATTCGGTGGGCCCTAAAGAAAACGGTCCTGGAACAGGACCTGCTCTGAAACCATGTCAGAACACTGAACGAGAATGAATGAACTATGAATGAGTTGGGTACTAGTACTAACCCTAATTGGGTTGTATCCCTTATGGGCTACCCCACTACAGCCTAAACAATGTAAGCATTATATCATTTTGACAAGCTAGTGCTACGTTGGCGCGAGGTTCGAGCTACTCCCGAAGCGTAGGCCAACTCGGCTACTCCAGCAGTGCGAGGTTTGGTGAAACAGTGCGCGCGAAGTTGGCAAAATCCGGTTAGCAGTAACGGGCGAACAACGGCTGCTGCTTTACGCGATGTGGACGGTCGCGGTAAGGAATAGCGAGAAAATTCTGTACACAAGTGATGCCGCGCAGCAGAACTGGAAACCACCAATAACGTGTTTCTGCTCCACCGTTAGAGTGTATCCGTCACTGCATGAACGTCTTATCTCAAATGCACTATCTTGCAATAAGGATGTTTTTATTGCATGTCCAGAATACTCATATAAACATCATCTAAAAAAGAAAGAGGTCGGAGTAATCTAGAAGGATGTAAGGATCAGATAACACATTATTGTTTCCAATATTCTATGTTTGTGCATCTTGTAAGGCTCATTCATAAAATGGAGACCAAATAGCAATCTACGAAGCCTGATCCCTTAATCAGAGGCAGCTAAAGATAAGGTGAATAATTGGCAATAACCTCTATCGTTGAGAACTTGGAACGTGTATGTAATAGCAAAAGAACTTGGACTACAGTGTGTAAGGTGGTTTTCCGCTATATATGTGGGCCCTTGAAAATGGACGGTCTCGAATCAGCATTTGCCATGTCAGGAGGGTGTGGTGCACCGTGATTTCCGTGGGCCCTTGGTTTGTCTTTTGCCCTAGCTGCCTCCCTCCCTCCCTCCCTGCCAATTCCCTTGCCGTGCGCACCCCATTAGAAGCATTCTGCCATGCATGTCGACCGTTCTGAGGTAATTCTTTTCAAACGCATGCTGGTGCCACGTGGCTGTCCCAGCTCTGGTTTCCCAGCGGCAGCAAGAATCTTTAAGCGCATCAAGTTTGCGAGCTCGACCGATTCCTGGACAATAACTTGAAGCCAGGACGAACGCTACACCAAGAACCAGCTTCCAGGGCCATCTAGTCATGCGTTTTATGGGGGACAAGCCAGCCAGCCGCGTCAGTTGGAGTTTGGAGTGTTCGGTGTGTGTCCGTATTCGCCGTCCGATGTGAAGTGCGATTTACGTGAAACGCGCACTCGCCCTTGGTGTAGTACACACGGCTGATTCCTCTACTCGTCATTCGAGTTCTCTCTTCCTCAGACCAGAGCTGCTCTACGCGAATCGGCTGGTTTCAGCAACCGCGACCACGCGTGCCGTGACCGGCAGAAGGGAGCTGTCTCCTTTTGTACTAGATCACGGACGAGACTGGTTCTGTTTTGACATTGAAGACTATGGCTTCTCCTTGGAGTCATGGAAAGCAGTGTGCGTTTAGCGAGGGGGAAGGGTTTCGTGGTGAGCCAGCCTCCAGGATCGGGGGTGAGCGCTGCAGCGCAGCGGAGGGGCTGGGTCTGCGCGCGAACTCCGCGAGGGGGAACGAGTTGGGGGGGGAAGCGGAGGGCGGAACTGGGCGCGGGGAAGGCGAACCGTGGGGGACGGGGAGGTCGGAAGCAGCGGAGACGGAAAGGTTTAAGGGAGGGGGCATGGAGGGTGAGCGAGGTAGAGTTTCTGCTGGCGAGAATACCACCGGATCATACGGGGTTCGTGCTGCTGTTGCTTCGGCAGTTCCCGCCGAACAGGCATCAGCAGCAGCAGCAGGCGCAGCCGTACAGGCGCCAGCTGAGGCGGGAAACGCGGAGCTCCTGCTGTTGGAGAACGCGTCGCTCTTGTCCCTCATCGAGCAGCAGCAGCAGTCGATCGCGGCGCTGCGGCAGGCAGCGGCAAAGGCGGAGCGGGAGAAGTGGTCGCTTTGTGACGAAGTGGGGATACTGAGAGAGGCCCTAGACGCATCCACTGAGCACGTGGAGCGGCTAGAGGAGCGCGTGGCCTGCATGGGCGGCGAGGGGGAAACCGGAGGGGAAGGAGAAGGAGGAGGGGGAGGAGAGGAAGGGGAAAGGGAAGGCGTAAGGGTAGGGGGGGAAGGTGAGGGGGAGGGGGAAGAGTTAGGGGTGGTGGTGAGTGGTGGAGCTGGTAGGCGAGATGGGGGCGAGGAGCAAGGAGAAGGGAAGGAGGGGGGGGAAGGAGAGAGAGAGGAGGATGGTGGGGAACAGGAACAGGAGGAGGTGGAAGACGAAGACAGAGTGTGCAGAAGCAGCAGTTTTCGGAAAGAATGGAATGCAGAAGGAGGAAGGGGTTCGGGGCGGATAGGGGGGATGGGGGGGATGGGGCGGATGGAGGTGGGTCCTGTTCACTATGTTAGCGTTAACCACGTGGGCGGCTCTTTTGGCAACAATGCGGAAGGAATGGAGGTAGTGAAGAAGGAATGCAGTGCTCTCACAGCAATCAATGCGTTCAACTTCCAGCCCCATCGCCCACCTCCTCCTCCTCTTAAGCGCCCGTCCCCCTCCCCGCCTGCCTTCCCATCCCGGGGTACTCTCGCGCACCGTGAGTCTGGCAACCACTTCAAAGGATCACTGCTGCCGTTCCAATGTGCTCCTGCTCCTGCTCCTTCTCCTACTCCTCCTCCTGCCCCACATCTCCCTTCTGCTGCTGGTGCCGGTGCCGGTGCCGGTGCTAGTGCTGCTGCCGCTGCTGCTTTGGCGGCGGCAGCTGCTGCTGATGCCACCGCCACAGCACTCTCAACCGTCACTGCTGCGGCTGTTGCCGCTGCAGCTGCAGCTGCAGTCACTGCTTCTGCCTTCATGGATCATGCTCTGCTTCCTTCTCCTGCATTGTCGCTCACAGCCCCTGCTGGTGCTCATGCTATCACTTGCAGCGGTGCAGCTATGCCCCCTGCCTATCCACTTGCTGAGACTGGAAATGCTGATGCTGATGCTGATGATGACGGTGATGGCAGTGATGATGATGATTTGTTGTCAGAGAGCATTTGGGCGGAGCTCTATGTTCACGAACCGCATACCTCACAGCAGCCGCAACAGCACCAGCAGCAGCACCAGCAGCAGCACCAGCAGCAGAACCAGCAGCAGCAGCACCAGCACCAGCAGCACCAGCAGCAGCACCAGCAGCAGCACCAGCAACAGCAGCAGCATCAGCACCAGCATCAGCACCAGCAACAGCAGCAGCATCATCAGCAGCATCAGCAACAGCATCACCAGAAGCAGCAGCACCAGCACCTCCACCCCCACCAGCAGCAGCAGATCCCCTTTGTCTCAGCAGCAGCGCCTGGTTCTTCTGCCTCGGTGTTCGCGTTCCAGTCCCTTAGCACTGCTCTCACTGGCCTCTCCAGCCCTGTCGCCCAGAGTACTGACAGCACGGACGATGGGAAAGCGAGGAGGCGCATGCACAGGCGAAACAACAGCAGTAGCAGCAGCAGCACCGGCAGCACGGGCAGCGGCAGGAGCAGGAGCAGAGCCAACAGCAGAAGCAACAGCAGCAGCAGTAGCAGTGGCCATAGCAGTAGCGGCAGTGGCAGTGCTTTTGGCACGGGAAACAAACCTGTTTCATACAATAACAGCAGTGCTTCTGGTTATGCTTGTGCTACTGGTGGTAACCCGTCTGTAACAGCAGAACAACCTGCCTCATCCTTGTTGTCTCAGCACTTCATGCCAATGCACCATCACACCCCATTAACTCCACTTCGTGCTCCTTCTCCTTCTCCTTCTCCTTCCCCTCTACCTCCTCCAACTGACCGCCGTTATCCAAGCCCTCTCCTTCGCGCAGCTTCCCACAATCACCCCGCTTTCTCCCAGCACCAGCCGTACAATCACACCACTTACACCCACTCCTCCTACAATCACATCTCCAGTCAAGCCCCTTCTCACCGCTACCCATCACCCACCCCTCCCCCAGCCACAGCCTCCACCTGCACGCCTGCAACATCCTCTACCAGCCATGGTGGTTCTTACAAGCATGAGGCGGACAGCAGTGATGAGATTGCAGCTGTTGTGCTGAGGAGCATGCAGCGGGCGCTTGGCACAGCGCACCACCGCACCGCCCGCCCCCTCCCTGCCTCTGCTGCTCCCACTGCTCGCCTGGAGCACACACCGGCACTCGCGGCTTCTATGCAGCGTTCCCATGCTCCGGACGGTAATTTTCTTTCCCAAGGATCGTGTGCACGTGCAGGGGAGCGGTGTGGTGGCGCCCGATGCGGTGGTGCGCGGTGCTGTGAGGTGTATGGGGACAGAGTAGGTGCTGCTGCTGCTGGGCAATGGGCCACCCGGGTGCATTTCAATGGCGGGGCAGAACCATCTCGAGGAATCCCAGGTCCAACTGCATGGGGCAATCATGCCATGTATGCTGCACCACCAGCAGGACTCTCAACCGTTTTGCCATCCTCACTTCCGTCAGCTGCTCCAATTGCACCAGCCTCACAACTCGCTCCAGCCGCAGCAGCAGGAGCAGCAGCAGCACACCGGGTGTCATCCGCAGTGCCTGTCCCTTCCAGCCACAATCCTGCCAAGCGTGACGGCACCTGGTATCAAAGCGCGCAGCCACAAAATGCCAACACTTACAGCAGCCGTGTGCCTGCATTCAGTAGCTTCAACTCCAGGGAGTTTGTCTCGGCCATGACTTCACGCCAATCGGCATCCAGCAGCTACTCTGGCCCTGGCGGTTGGGAGTGTGCCAGGACCCAGTATGCAGATGAATGTCGTCTTGGTGCAGTGAATTGGTTGGAAAGTGGTGGCGGGTTTGACCATTTGCTTGGGTCTGCTGCTTCTTCTGCTGCTGCTGCTGCTGCCGCTCTTCATTCCCCCCCTGCCGCTCGTCGTGCTGCTGTTGCTGGTGGTGGTTATGGTCAAGGCTGGCAAGTGCAAGGCGGGGAAGGGAGTGGTTGCTTGAGCATTGGGTCTGGGGCGAGTTTGGGAATGGGATGGGCAAGGGGCCAGGAGGATTCACAGGCAGGACGAGAGGGGCATGGAGCAGGAGTGAGTTCAGGTTTTTCTCGTTGTGTGTTCAGACAGGATGAGCGCCATGAACGGAAGGGAGAAAAGGGCTTTCTTTGGGAGTAGGCAAGATGGTGGTGTGGAGGTGAGTGGAATGCACACATGTGCATGTGCATGGGTGGTTGCATACCTTAGTGGAATCATGCAAGGGTAAAGCAAGAAAAATAGAGAGGATTTTGGTCTGATGTGATTATAGGTTTCCCTCCCAACAGAGCATAATTTTGATCAGACCATTGTTGAGAGCTGTATTTTCGATTGATGAGTACTACTAGTACTGTACCATGACCAAAGCTCTTCAATGCCCCTGCTTTGCAGGGAATATATGCCATTCGTAACCATCATGGGACTCTTTTGGTAAAAAAATAAAGGGTACGGTCACTGCAAAGGGTGTTTTCACGCGACTGAAAATGTTTCACGTAATCAGTCACTATCAACTGGTTAAAAAAAAAAAAAAAAACGTGAATGGTCATAGATGAAACTCCCGCCAAAACATAATGAAGCCCAAAAAGGGGTAATTACATTCTGGGTAACCAACATCGAGCCCGCTGACGTCAAAAGTCACCTACGTGGCTCGATGGTACCCGTCAGATCATGCGCACCCCTTGGTGGTACCCATCTTCCCTCCGTGGTACCCATCTTCCCTGCGTGGTACCCATCAACTGTGCGTGAATTCCCTGACTGGTACCGCAACATTTCAACCGAGCTGTACACCGTACAACAAGGGTTTCAATGCGATTTTCACTATATTATACCAACGTTTTCTGTCTGCAATTGAACATTAATACATTTGAACATTAATACCTTTGAACGTGCCTTACACTGGATAGAGTGCAACATAGAAAAAATCAACTCCCCTTCTAAAATTCTCACGTTACCTCCGAACCTTTGTAAGCTCACATCACTGAGCGATAGGTAGCGTGAATCTTACGACCATGTTTCTCAGCGCGCAGTTGGTAATCTGAACAAAGTTCATAAGGTTGTATGCAAATAAATTGAGCATGTACCCCCACAGCTAAATAGAAAAGCATAAACAAATAATACGTACATTCGTTGGTTTCTGGAAACAAAACAATACCCATTAATGAAAATCAAATAACCTTAAGTCAATATATATATTACGTGTCAGTTGATCGTTTGTTACACGGATGTTAATTTTTGTGTTTCGGTTGATGCAATATATCTGTGGTGATTTAAATTATAGCACGTTATAATGTGGATGTTTATGAGCCTAAAGAAATCTACACAATAAATGTTTTCCTAAATTCAGCTTTTCTTCTACACTTTATTATAGGTAATGCGCTTGAAAATTTGACCCGATTATGTGGCACTTCGGGCTTCGGACTCTATTGAGCTTGTAAACGTTAAGACAATATAGTGAAAAACGCATTGACACCCTTGTTGTACGGTGTACAGCTCGGTTGAAATGTTGCGTCACCAGTCAGGGAATTCGCGCACAGTTGATGGGTACCACGCAGGGAAGATGGGTACCACGGAGGGAAGATGGGTACCACCAAGGGGCGCGCATGATCTGACGGGTACCATCGAGCCACGTAGGTGACTTTTGACGTCAGCGGGCTCAATGCTGGTTACCCAGAATGTAATTACTCCCCAAAAAGGGATGCATTTTCGGATGAATCAACCCTAAACACGTAACTCGCCAGGTGTTTAGGGTTGATCCGTTCCCAAACCGCATCCGATTTCGATTGGATTTTAGTTTTTCTACAAGTTAGCAGATTGGTTGGGCGCGAGCGGGAATTTTGTTGACCATTCGCGTGATGTATTACCTGTTGTTAGTGACTGAATCTGTGACCCCACTTACCAAACCCGTCAGAAAATCCGATACAGTGACCGTACGCTTTTTTTTTTTCCATTCACGTTATCGAGTCCCAAGTTGGTTACTTATGGCATATTTCCCCATGCGTTGCAATTTCGGGCGTCACGATGGGCTCACCTCCTTTGCCGCGGAAGGCACAACCAAGCTTATTTGTGCGAGACCTGTTCCAAACCGGCAGGGACTTGCACCTATTGGCTCCCGTCCTTTGCGGCGCTGCATTTTCAGGCTCGAAGCTGCGGGACGACCCATGCGAGAAAAACACGCAACGTGTTCATCCACTGTCAAGACTCCAAGCCGCTCATGGCACCTTCCAAACCAGGTTCGACTCCACTTATGTCAAGTTCCAGAGCTCAGCGGTACAGGACACCACAGGCAGCACCAGACCAGAGCTGCTTATTGCCAAGTCGCACCAGACCGGACCGGAGTTCATGGAAGGAAATCCGTCGATGTCGCTATTCGTGCCAAATTGTTCAAACCGCGCACAAGATTCTCTACTTGTTCAAGCAACCACAGTTGCTGGCGCATTATCTACTTCGTATAATTGCTGATCTCCGGACCAGTTCACCTCCATCGATCTTCAACTGCTGCTAGTGCCAGTGATACAAGGTTATGTCTTGCCCGTTCTTGATTGATCAACCTAAAGCCATGGCCCGCCGTCTCCTTCTCGCCGCTGCAATAATAGGTGAGTTGTCTATGCATAGGATTTTTTTGTTCAGCGAAAACTCGTGCTATACGTTCAAGCTCTCATCGCTCGTGTCCTTTTGCCTGATTCCCCCCACGAATACCTCCAGGCTTGGTGGCTATCAGCGTCCAAGCAGCTCCCAAGCCAAAGAAATATGATCCCTGCGTCGCCCCACTTGCGGTTAGTAATATTAACATCTCGCCACCCTATGCCAAGCGTACTCGCATTCAATGCCGCATTGTAGTTGTTTCTCCTAGCCACGTAACCTGCATGGGAACCTGGTAGGTGCGCGCGATGACAAATCATGGTGAATAGATTCCAAGAAATTTCAAGATCTTTCCTAACACTTGGCAGATTCTCCGATGTCTTCCCGTCGAAGCGTTACCACACCGGTTGAAGAAAGCCAGTGAGTGATGTGCTTAACATTCTTACCTCTCCCTTCTGTCTCGGCGTGCCTTGCTGCAGGTGTGTGACTTCTTTTTCTACAACTTCAAGGAAGAAACGCCGGTGATCATTATCAATGCCGTCGCGACCGAGAAGGTCGCTTCCACTGCTCTCCGCCACGAGTGAGTCACGCTACTGCTCGACACGCTACTGCCAGAACCCCATTCTCGTTTTCTCACCATTAACGCTACGGATGCACGAGCACAGCATCCACCTGCCTTCAACTTCCATTTTCGTTTCTCCTTACCGCCACCGTTCTCCCGTCCAATCCCCTTGCGACTCTACTCCTTACAGGTCTGACAAGGCTGTGCAGACAGCAACCACCTCGGGAGCCTCTTGCAAAGTCATAGGGGTAAGGATACGACCTCGAATGCTTTGAACGATTTTCAAACAATGCACGCTTTTGGAAACATTCACCAACCACACTTATTCCCTTGCTCCCGGCGAAAACTGGTACTTACATTCTTTCCTATTCCCTTCCATTCAGGGTGGTTCTTGCGATAACTACTTCTTTTTCCGCGCTCGCGGAGCTAGTGACGCGTACACCAAGTTCGTGAACCGTAACGACCGCCTGGGAATCCGCCCTATGCCCCAGGCCAAGATCGACGAGCTCAACGGCAAGTGCATCAAGGTGTACATCGAAACCGCTAAGATTAAGCTCGGCAAAGGCGTCAACGCATCGATATGGCTGAACCCGAGCGACAACAAGCTAGCATACCCTCAGGTGCGGTTATGTTGGCGCTGATTTGTCTCGTGCCTCCGCCTCCCACTCGTTTTTTTTCTGCGGTGTACTTGTTCTTTCTCTCCTGGAGCTATTTTGGTGCTAACGCGTTCTGTTTTTCTCTTTTCAGGCTCGTCGTTGCGTCGTCTTTAAGGTTGTGGCTGGCAGTTAGCCCCACAAGTATGCGCCAAACGTCCATTAGGTAGTGTAGTTTTGCGATTGATTGGCTACGCTTTCACATGTTCGCGCAAATATAAAATGAAGTTTTTATGCGACAAAATCACATTGCAGCAATGAAGTGAGCTTCTGATTCGGAGGACACCTAGCAGTCACCGAAGCGTGCGTGTGTGCGTCACCCTACAGCCAACTTCTGAGCATTGTCAGACTTCCGCCATTCCTGCTGCTCACACTTCCACTCTCAAAGCGCATCGAAAACTGTCTATGCAGCTGGGCTGTACTTAGGCCCTTTCGCCAGAACAGCTCTCAGCTCTCCTTGAATTCCAGGAGAGTGCCTAGATTTCAAGGAGAGCCCAGACGCCCATAACCCCCCAGGACAATGAGCCTGTAACCTTTCCTTAGAAGTGTTGATCTCCAATTGATCCTAAGAAAGGGTTACAGGCTCGTTGTCCTGTGGGGTTATGGGCGCACTGACCCGCTACTTAACAAGCCCTTTTATCCCAGTGGTCTAGTGACTGGGATTCTGACATCGCATCAGATCAGGAAACCTATTAAGTTTTTAGGGCCCACCGATAGATTCGCTCGTTCCTGCTCGAAGCGCCCTTGCGCTGTCCGGCCCTGCTCGCACAGTGTCGCGCTGCCCTGCAGCTATTTGCACTGCCTGCCCCCCCCCCGCACGTCGCGCCCTGTTGCAGCCCGCGCGTCGCGCTCTGCTGCTCCGCGCCTCACGCCCTGCTGCAGCCTGCACGTCGCGCCCTGCTGCCCTGCGCGTCGCGCCCTACTGCAGCCAGCGCGTCGCGCTCTGCTGCCCTGCGCGTCGCGCCCTGCTGCAGCCAGCGCGTTGCGCCCTGCTGCCCTGCATATCGCGCCCTGCGGCAGCCAGCGCGTCGCGCCCTTCTGCAGCCAGCGCGTTGCGCTCTGCTGCCCTGCGCGTCGCGCCCTGCTGCAGCCAGCGCGTCGCGCCCTACTGCAGCCAGTACGTCGCGCTCTGCTGCCCCTCGCGTCGCGACCTGCTGCAGCCAGCGCGTCGCGCCCTACTGCAGCCAGCGCGTCGCACTCTGCTGCCCCACACGTCGCGCCCTGCTGCCCTGCACAGCGTTCGCCCCGCTGCCCTGTCCACCGCGCGCCCTGTCCTGCAGCCCGCGGCGCGCCCTGCCTGGCCGAGCTGCGCCGCCCAGCCCGAGCCGTCCTGCCCAACCTGAGCCGCGCCGCCCTACCTTGATCACCAACCCCACCGAGCCGCCCTGCTGCACTACTGCTGCTGCTGCTGCTGCTGCTGCTGCTGCTGCTGCTGCTGCTGCTGCTGCTGCTGCTGCTCGTGCTACTGTTGCTGCTGGTGGAGGTGCTGCTGGGAGTGCTGCTGGTGCTAGGGGTGCTGGGGGTGCTAGAGGTGCGACTGGTGCCGGACGTGCGACTGGGAGTGCTGGAGGTGCTGCTGGTGCCGGAGGTGCTGGACCTATTACTGACCGTCACTGCCTGTCATGGCCACTATCACGGCAGTTGCAGCGGCTAGGGGTGGACAGCGGCGGTCGCTGCCTCTCCCGGACGACCCCACCCCTCAGCAGCTTCGCAAGTGGGTTCTTCAGCGAGCCTGTCCAGGTGGTGGAAGCTTTGGTTTTCTACGTACTGCACAGAGGCGGCAGCAGAGTCAGCAGGAGACCTTCTCCCCTCAGGTGTTTAGTGAGTTGTTTCTTCAGCGATGTGTCTCGTTCTGTCGAGGCTGCTGAACTAGGTGCTAGTGAGTCTGCTGACGCACTAGGTGCTAGTGAATCTGCTGCAGCTTTAGGTGTTCGTGCGTCTCCCGCCACATGTCCTTCCTCAGCTGAGGCCTTGCACACTTTCACACTTGACTCATGCGCGTCACGTTGCTTCTTTCGTGACTGCACCACACTCACACCACTTGCTGCACCGGTACCGGTCTCACTGGCTGACCCCACTGGGGGCCTAGTAGTCGCACGAGCCTCCACTGTCCTCCCGTGTTCAGCAGTCCCCTTCGGTTCTCTGTCAGGTCTCCACCTCCCCACATTCTCGACAAACTTGGTGAGCAACGCTGCCATTCAGGATGTCTGGGTTGATACCTTTATTCCTGGAGGACAGCGTGTGGCAATCTATACGTGCTCCCGGACTGGCCGTCACCTGGCTACGTTCACTCAACGGCCTGGGTCTAGTTTGTACACACTGACGACTGCGTCTGCACAGGTGGTTGAGGCAGGTCAGGTGGCTGCGTCGAGTCAAGTGTCTGCGTCTGGTCAGCTTGCAGCGTCTTGCTCGTGTTGGGTACTCTCCCACCAGACTCTTCTCTGGCACCACCGCCTTGGTCACCCCTCCCTATCGCGTCGCCGCGGTATGCACTCCCGTCTCCTTGTCTCTGGCCTTCCCAGGTCTCTGCCCTCCCTCCCGCGCTTGCCTGCCCCGCCGTGCCTTCCGTGCGTCGAGGGGCGGCAGCGTGCCGCTCCTCACTCCTCCGAGTTTCCTCCGACCACTGCTCCTCTGCAGACTCTCCACATGGACGTTTGGGGCCCGGCCCCCGTTGGTGGAACGGACCAAAAGTGCTACTTCCTGCTGGTTGTTGACGACTACACAAGTTACACTACTGTCTTCCCCTTGCAGCGCAAGGCGGACGTCAGCGGTTTTTTGATCCCCTGGATCCGTGCTACTCGTCGCCAGCTGCGCGAGCGGTTCAGTCGCGACTTGCCAGTCATGCGTCTGCACTCTCACAGGGGCGGTGAGTTCTCTTCTAACCTTCTTCCGGAGTTCTATCGAGACGATGGCATCCACCAGTCGTTCACGGTTCCGGCCTCTCCTCAGCAAAATGGGATTGCTGAGCGACGCATTGGCTTGATCATGGAGGTTGCTCGTAACTCCATGATCCATGCGGCTGCTCCCCATTTTCTGTGGTCGTTTGCGGTCCGATACGCAGCGCATCAGCTCAACCTCTGGCCCCATATTTATGAGCCCGAGACCTCGCCCACACTACGGTGGACGGGGAAGGTTGACGATACGTCGGTGTTTCGGGTCTGGGACGCGCTCTCCCTTGTTCGCGATGCCAAAGCGAGCAAGCTCTCCTCTCACACTCTCCGCTGCGTCTTCCTTGGCTTCCCCACCGACGCCCCGCCGTGGCAGTTTTACCACCCGCGCTCGCGTCGAGTCTTCTCCTCCTAGGACGTTACCTTTGACGAGTCTATATGTTACTACAAGCTACACCCGCACGCGTCCCACCCGGTCCCCCTAGCACCTCTTTTCTTAGTACCAGTCCCCCCCCCCCCCCCCCCCCCCGGTAGACCCCCTCCTCCCACAGGGTTCTGCTCCCTCAAGTGTGTCTCAGGTAGACCCACCCCCTTTGGTTGAGCATTTGGAGGTCTCTTTTGACTCCTCTGGCCCAGCTGAGAGGGGTGACCCCGCCGTTGACGACACGGCGGCCACTTGCCGCTCTCCACGCTTGGAGACCCCCCCTGGTTTTCCGGCTCGGTCGTCTTCGCCGCCTCCGCAGCCTGCTGCTGTGGACTCTGGAGCTGAGACTGCTGGTGCTGAGCCTGGGGGTGCTGAGACAGAGGGTGAGGGTTTTGGGGGTGCTGTGACTGGGGGTGCTGGTTCTGGGGGTGCTGCGACAGGGGGTGCTGGTTCTTGGGGTGCTGCGACTGGGGGTGCTGACTCTGGGGGTCCTGTGAGTCCTAGTGGCGGTGGAGGTGTGGGTCACCCTGCTGACGGTCTTGGAGCTGGACAGCCACCGCATCTTGACCTATTTGAGACGCTCTCGCCGCAGACGATTCGTGCGTGGATCGTTCGGCGAGGCAGTCCTGGTGGTGGAGGGTACGGTCCTGCTGGTGCTGGAGCTGCTAGTCCTGGAGGTACTGCTGGTGCTGGAGGTACTGGAGGTACTGCTGGTGCTGGAGGTGCTGCTGGTGCTGGAGGTACTAGAGGTGCTGGAGGTACTAGAGGTGCTGCTGGTGCTGGAGGTGCCGGAGCTACTATTCCTAGAGGTGCTGCTGGTGCTCGAGGTGCTAGAGCTACTAGTCCTAGAGGTGCTACTGGTGCTGGAGGTGCTGGACCTGTTAGTCCTGGAAGTACTGGAGTTACTGGAGGTACTGGAGGTGCTGGAGCTGCTGGTCCTGGAGGTGCTCGTATTAGAGGTACTGGAGCTTCCGGAACAGGTGGTGCTGCTGGTGCTGGAGGTGCTGGAGATGCTACTAGAGCTAATGGCACTGGAGGTGCTGGAGTTACTACTGGTGCTAGGGGTCCTGGTGCTGCCGGAGCTAGTGGTGCTGCTGGTGCTGGAGGTGCTGGAGGTGCTGCTGGAGCTGTTGGTGATGGAGGAGCTGGAGCTGCTGGTACTGCCCTTGGCAGACCGTTTTTCTACCCGCAGCCGCAGTTGTCTCTGCCGCCGCCTGACTCGGTCCTTCGCCAGGTTCTTAATCTCCCGTCTTCCACTGGCCTCCCTCTACCCCTTCTGTGTCCACTGACAGACCAGTGTCAACCACAGCTACTGCCTGGCTCCCCGCTGCCTGCGCCTGCTCCTCACACTGAGGTGAATGAGTCCTTGACTGAGCGTCGTGAGCCTGAGACTCGTGCTTCCACACCTGTTCGTGCTCGTCGTGTCGCGCGTCCTCGTCCTCCTGCTGTCCCAGGCACTCACGGTATGGCATTTCGTCCTTCCTCTGTTCCACAGTGTGTTGTCCTGCCTGAGCCTTCAGCGTCCTCTCTTCCACACGTTCCTGACCCTGAGTCCGACCTTGCTCGTGCTGCCAGTCCTACTGTCACTCGTCTCCTTGCTACTGTCGTCACTAACCCTGACCTTGAGTCTACTGCAGCGTTTGCCCTAGTCACTGAGCTAGTCGAATTTGCAGCTA